CAGCCTGAACTGCATAGCAAGACCCTGTCTCAAAAAGACAAAAAAAAAAAAAAAAAAAAAAAGAAGGGGATCATCACAAATTCAAGACCATCCTGTGTTACCGACTTAGGTCAAAACCACCCTGAACTACATAGCAGGACCCTGTCTCAAAACAGAACAAAACTATAGACCATAAACTCTTCTCAGGAAATTTAAGTACTGAATTTACAGATAAACATGTGAAACCACCCAGGCTTAGGAAGAGATGATTCCCTTTCCTGAGCTGGGAGAGAACAGAGGAGGGAAGGAAGCCCCTTAAACAGTGACACATGAAGTTAATAATTAAGAAATTCGGGCAGAAGGGTGAAAGTGGTCTGAAGTAGAGGGAATGGTGACCAGTGGGCAAGACGAGGATGTGGAGCCAAAGCCCTGTGGTGTTAAACGACTGTCCAGCCCCACAGACTTGCATTTTCTGAGCCCAGCCCCTCCCACTCAGCCTCTGCTCTGTCTCACAGACTCCCGAGCAAGGCGGCACAGTGGACTTCCTCTTTATTTCCATTTGAGTTGTACAAGGGTCACAAATCTCTCCTCTCTGGGAACAACTCCGTGACCCTCTGAGGGGACAGCACAGAGAGAGATACAGCTCAACAGGGCGACAGTGCTCAACCACCAGCCCTGCATTTCCAGTGCTGACTAGACAGCTGTGTTTTTGTACAGCAGGGGTGATGTGGAACGACCCAAACGTGAGTTAATTTGGTGCTCTTTCCTGTAGCCACCCCTCCCTGCAAGAGTCCAACTGCTTGGATTCACCATATTTCACCAAAGCTGGAACTCCTTAAGCCCTCTCTGCAACTAAGGGCTCACACATCCGCCCCATGCGCCTGTCCTTCCCTCACTCCCCCACTGTATATGAAGCCCTGACCTCCAGCTGGACCTCTGCAGTCCCTCCACGCCCGCTGTCCACCTCCCACAGTCCTCTCCCTCCTGCCCTCCACCCTGGCTATTTTCCTTCACACATAGCTCTGACTTAATAGCAAATTATATGATGCTCAAAATTTTTTGAAATCATAAATATCCACATAAAATTTATCA